GTCAAATATTGTATATTCACAGTCTCTTCCCACTGTTACTTTAGCCAATGGATGTCAAACTAAGGCAAAAGGAGTTGGACAAGCTAATCCCTTGTCTTTTATCACCCTAGATTCCGTTCTTTATGTCCTTGGTTATCCTTTTAGTCTTGCATCTGTTAGTCGTTTGACTCATGCCCTCCATTGTGGTATATATTTTATTGACGATTCTTTTATTATGTAGGACCGCAGTACGGGACATACAATTGGTACAAGATGTTAATCAGAAGGCCTTTACTACCTTAACTCACTCAGTCCTTCCACAATATGTCTAGCTACAGATCCTCCAAATCTAATCCACAGACGTTTAGGACATCCGAGTTTATCCAAACTTCAGAAGATGGTGCCTAGTTTATCTAGTTTATCTACATTAGATTGTGAGTCGTGTCAACTTGGGAAACATACCCGAGCCTCTTTTTCGCGTAGTGTTGAGAGTCATGCAGAGTCTGTCTTCTCCTTAGTTAATTCTGATATATGGGGTCCTAGTAGAGTCAGTTCATCCTTGGGATTTCATTATTTTGTTAGTTTCATTGATGATTATTCAAGATGTACTTGGCTTTTCTTAATGAAAGATCGTTCTGAATTATTTTCTATATTCCAGAGTTTCTGTGCTGAAATCAAAAACCAATTTGGTATTTCTATTCGTATTTTTCGCAGTGATAATGCCTTAGAATATTTATCTTCTCAATTTCAACAGTTTATGACTTCTCAAGGAATTATTCATCAGACATCTTGTCCTTATACCCCTCAGCAAAATGGGGTTGCTGAGAGAAAGAACATGCACCTTATTGAGACTGCTCGCACACTTCTAATTGAATCTCATGTTCCGTTACATTTCTGGGGCGATGCAGTTCTCACAACTTGTTATTTGATTAATCAGATGCCTTCATCTCCCATCAAGGATTAGATTCCGCATTCAGTATTGTTTCCCCAGTCACCCTTATACCCTCTTCCACCCCGTGTTTTTGGGAGCACGTGTTTTGTTCATAACTTAGCCCCTGGGAAAGATAAGTTAGCTCCTCGTGCTCTCAAGTGTGTCTTTCTTGGTTATTCTCGTGTTCAAAAGGGATATCGTTATTATTCTCCAGATCTTCGTAGGACCTTATGTCAGCTGACATCACATTTTTTGAGTCTAAACCTTTCTTTACTTTTGCTGACCACCATGATATATCTAAGGTTTTACCTATACCGACCTTTGAGGAGTTTACTATAGCTCCTCCTCCACTTTCGACCATAGAAGTTTTATCCATACCAACCGTTGAGGAGTCTAGTGTTGTTCCCCCTAGTTCCCCAGCCACAAGAACACCACTCTTGACTTATCATCGTCGTTTGCGTCCTCCATCAGGCCCAACTGGTTCTCGTCTTGCACCTGACCCTGCTCCTGCTGCGGACCCTGCTCCTAGTATACCGATTACACTTCGGAAAGATATACGGACCACACTTAACCCTAATCCTCATTATGTCGGTTTGAGCTATCATCATCTGTCATCTCCCCATTATGCTTTTATATATTCTTTGTTCTCGGTTTCCATCCCTAAGTCTACAGGTGAAGCGTTGTCTCATCCAGGATGGTGACATGCTATGCGTGACGAGATGTCTGCTTTACATACAAGTGGTACTTGGGAGCTTGTTCCTCTTCCCTCAGGTAAATCTACTGTTGGTTGTCGTTGGGTTTATGCCGTCAAAGTTGGTCCCGATGGACAGATTGATCGACTTAAGGCCCGTCTTATTACCAAAGGATATACTCAGATATTTGGGCTCGATTACAGTGATACTTTCTCTCCCGTGGCTAAAGTGGCTTCAGCCCGCCTTTTTCTATCCATGGTTGCGGTTCGTCATTGGCCCCTCTATCAGCTGGACATTAAAAATGCCTTTCTTCACGGTGATCTTGAGGATGAGGTTTATATGGAGCAACCACCTGGTTTTGTTGCTCAGAAGAAGTCTCGTGGACTTGTATGTCGCTTGCGTCGGTCACTTTATGGTCTAAAGCAGTCTCCCCGAGCCTGGTTTGGTAAGTTCAGCACGGTTATCCAGGAGTTTGGCATGACTCGTAGTGAAGCTGATCACTCTGTGTTTTATCGGCACTCTACTTCAAGTCTCTGTATTTATCTGGTAATCTATGTTGGTGATATTGTTATTACTGGCAATGATCAGGATGGTATTACCAATCTGAAGCAGCATCTCTTCCAGCACTTCCAAACTAATGATCTAGGCAGATTGAAGTACTTTCTAGGTATTGAGGTTGCCCAGTCTAGCTCAGGTATTGTTATTTCTCAAAGAAAATATGATTTATACATTCTTGAGGAGACGAGGATGATAGGTTGCAGGCCTGTTGACACTCCGATGGATCCGAATTCTAAACTTATGCCAGGACAGGGGGAGCCGATTAGCGATCCTGCAAGCTATAGGCGGCTGGTTGGAAAATTAAATTATCTCATAGTGACTAATATTTCTTATCATATGAGTGTTGTAAGTCAGTTTATGAATTCTCCCTGTGATAGTCATTGGGATGCAATTGTCTGCATTATTCGATATATAAAATCGGCTCCAGGCAAAGGGTTACTCTTTGAGAATCGAAGTCATGAGCAGATCATTGGATACTCAGATGCTGATTAGGCAGGATCACCTTCTGATAGACGTTCTACGTCTGGATATTGTGTTTTAGTAGGAGGAAATTTGGTGTCCTGGAAGAGTAAGAAACAGAATATAGTTGCTCGGTCTAGTGCAGAAGCAGAATATCGAGCAATGGCTATGGCAACATGTGAGCTAGTCTGGACCAAACAATTGCTCAAGGAGTTGGAATTTGGTGAAATCAGTCGAATGGAACTTGTGTGCGATAATCAAGCTGCCCTTCATATTGTATCAAATCCGGTGTTCCATGAGAGAACTAAATACATTGAGATTGATTGTCACTTCGTCAGAGAAAAGATACTTTCAGGAGAGATTGCTACAAAGTTTGTGAGGTCGAATGATCAACTTGTAGATATTTTCACCAAGTCTCTCACTAGTCCTACTATTGGTTATATATGTAACAAGCTCGGTACATATGATTTGTATGCACCGACTTGAGGGGGAGCGTTAGTTTACAGCATGTATATAGTGTAGTATTGTCCCACATTGGTAGATGAGTAGTATATCCTTGTATAGTATAGCTATAAATAAGGATAGCTATAAATAAGGACCTCTTGTATTGTATTGTTCATCCAATATCAATAATATATTTTCTCCCGTGCCTTCTCACAGAGACCTAATGTGAAAGGGTAAGTATACACGCTTAAAAACCCTCTCACGTGAGTAGTAATATCCTCTTCGGGAGATGACACTACCACTTTTTTGTTCTCCCAGTTATAATCTTTTTTTATCCGCTCGATGTGCTCCCGGGTTATCGAACAAATATATCTCGATACGGGCTCACATCGGCCAGGAACCGACGAACCTTTATCGAGTTTGAAATCGGAGGTAAGAACACACGCCGCCGGAACACACTCCTCAGGCCGTGGATCCATCGGTGTTTTGTCGGCGGTGGATTAAGAAGAAGAAGCTTTTTCTTTTTGGAGGACGATTTTTGATGTCTTCACCATTTTTGATTTAAAGAAGGTGACAAAGATTTGGTAGTTTAGAAGAAGAATTTTGCAAAGAAGAATCACAGATTTGCGAATAAACTCAGAGAATACGAAAAGGACTTGGGAAATTTAGAAGATTGAAGATGTAAAAGTGGTAAATGATAAAAGGAAGGGCTATTTATAGATTAAAGCAATGGCGGTTCAGTATCAGCGGTGGCCGACCACCGTTTGACATGCATTAAATGCCTTGAAAGATTAAATCGACGGGACAGCTATCACGTGCGTCATGGTCGAGCCCAATGTAAACGTCATCTTATAATCCGATCGAGCCGTTGAAAATCATATCATTTCTCACCACATCCTTCCCGAGAAACGAGGGGACTATCTGTATACGGTCGAAATAGATTTCGGCCTTCGTACGATTGATCGAGGTCAAAACGTGATGGATCGAAGTAAGACTTCGAGATGGGTTCCGAAGATGGTACAAACAAGCTTCGAGCCCGAGGGACCGATCAATGTCGAGTTCGATATCATTATCAAGCTCGAATCCAAGTCGAACTATGATGCAAAGTAAAGTTATCGAGCTTATGATTCAGAGACCGACCAACACTGACTCCGGATCAATGCAAGGATCCGAGTCAGAATCGAGAGCTTGAGTCAAGACCGAAAACTCGAGTCAATATCGAGTTTATAGACAAGAACCGTTGCAATCCCACTAGAGGAGAGAATCCTGATAGGAATTATAGAAAAACTGATTTATCATGGATCTCTCATTATGTATTTTTAATTATATCTAAAGTAAGATCCCTCTACTATAAAGGGAATGGTTATTATTTCTGTAAGGACCAAGTTTTTACTTACATTGTAATTCAAACATCATATTCTCTTATAGTGAAGAGTTGTTCTTTCAAGCTTCATAAATTGATCCAACTTGTTTAGTCCTAAAAATCATCTTCTTTACAACCTTGTTTACTTTGCATTCTTTGCAATCCATACTTGATATTTCTATTTCTCCTTATGATTTGTATTAAATTATACCACATATCCTTAGAACTACGTACAAATTCAACTCCATCGGTTTTTCGGGTAAACATTTTCGGGTAAACAAGAGTATTTGAAAAACTCATCATCAACTTGATTGCAGGGTGAAACAAGAAGAAAAAGAAGCCAGAAATGAAGAACGTAAATACAACTTAGGTATAAGTAAACCATTTTCAATTATTAGTATATCATTCATATAGACTGAACTATACACCACTGTGCCTTCACACACAATCACTTTTTTTTATCAACTCATATTTATTCTTTTATTCATCCTATAGCTAGCTAATAACACCATGCATGCTACTCGTAATTCATTGGTCCAACTAATAGTACGTCTGAAAATCGAACAATAGATTCTCAGTCCTCAACATTAGTGTCCTGATTTTCCTTCTCCTCAAGATTGGTCTCTCCATCTTGTTTTTCCTTATCTCCATCACCATTTATGTTTATCTTTTCCTCGGACCTAATTGGCTCTCCATCTTGCTTTTCGTTTTCAGTAGTCTTGGGCTGATGATTCTGTTTTTCCTTGTCATGAGTTAGTCTGGAATTTCCATTTGGGCAGCCATAACTAGGTGGTGGCTGACATCCATATGGACAAGGAAATGGGAATGTTGGTTGAGTTATTGGACAATTGCATATAGGTCCAATTGTTTGTGGGGGTCCAGGTATAACGGGTGGGTAATTACAATTTCCATTTTCACCATAACCACTACCATATCCTCCACCTCCACCTCCGCCACCACCACCGCCTCCTCCACCGCCACTTCCGCCATTACTGCCGCCTACCCCACCACCACCTACGCCACAACCAGGCATGCAATAAGGGTTTTCGCCTGTTTGTGGAGGTCCAGGTACAACGGGCGGGTAATTACAGCCATTTTCACCACACCCGCTACCATAGGCTCCACCTCCGCCACTGCCACCGCCACCACCTCCTCCACCGCTGCTGCCTCTATTACCGCCGCCTACCCCACCAACACCAGGCATGCAAGAAGGTTTCGTGACTCCATTTTGGTCATGCATTTCGTCTGATTTTTGGGCTTTCATAGGGTCCAACAAGTCGTTATTACGAGCAGAGCCAAGGCTTAAACATAGTAAAAGCAATAAGCTTAAAAGGATAAATTTTAGAGAACCCATTCTTGCAAGTAATTAATGAACTAATTAATGACCTATGATGCTTTGAATTACCAAGGGAATATTCATATCATCTATATATATATATATATAGTTTGAAAAAAGAAGTCTAGTTAGCAGTTGATTCTTGTAAATTAAATAAGCACTCTTTACATTGCTCGCTCTTTTTTTGGTCTACCATTACGGAGTCGGAGTCATCAACCTTGCATGAGACATTACATGAACATGATATATATATATATATATATCTTTGATTCGAACGAATCTAGTAGTTTTGCTTAGATTTAGTATATGTACTATAAAATATTTGTAAATATATGTAAATATTTAATTGTGAGCCTGATAATTAAGACGAATTATGAGTTTGCTAACGATTTTATAACACATATACTTTAAATTTTGGCTCCAACCTCCCTTCCTCGATTCCTCCCATCTACTCGAAGCCCGAGACTGAACCATAAACGTCATCGTTTTACTAAAATACCATAGATGATAACGCTATGGATAATTAAGTACCGAAAAAGAAGGAAAAGTATATTCAAGTAACGCATTCTGCATAAATATACTCAAGAGTCGACTGTAATTGTGGGTTTGGAAAGCGAAAATAGCACGTGCTAGCTAGTTTTCGTACTGATAACTGAAAAATAGTCAGCATTTGTAAAGTCATTGAAAAATAGTCACTATTTTGCTGAAATACGAAAAGTTCCAGCATAAAGACGAGATTATGGAGTTCCTGCGTATAAACTTCTAACATATTATGTTGGAACTCCAGCACACAGAAAGTTCCAGCATAATATGCTGGATTATGGAGCTTCTGCATATAAACTTCCCGCATATTATGTTGGAATTTCAGCACATTATGCTGAAAGCTCATATGTAAAAATTCGAATTCCAACAGATTATACTGGAATATTTTTATATTTTAAGGATATTTTTGTTCAGATTTTATTTTTACATGAAAAAGTGGCTAAATTTTAATTATCTTTTAAATTGTGGCTATTTTTCAATTAGGAGTTATAAATCTGATTTTTTTTTTATTTTTTCCCGTTTGGAAATGATAAATGGAATCGGAAAGTGATTGCGTGTAGAGTCCTTTTTGTTCCCGCTCTAAACACTTGTTTGTTCCATTGTATAAAAGATTGGATTTAAGTTATATATACTCATACTCTAAAGATTTTTTGAAGTATTTAATCTTCGCTAACAAGTTAGTTTCACCATTTTTTACTAGGTTATCAATTAATAATAATCATAAAAATTTATCTATAATTACCTTATGCTTGACCTGATTGTATTTGTACATATTATTTTTCACCATAGTGCATAGATATATATACATAAACTCGTAACAATTTATTTTATATTCATTTAAAAAATAAATATTGTTTTACATTATCGGTACAAATTTAACGAGCTCAAAAACTTGCCTTTTGTTTTTTCAAGTTACTAAATCCACTATTAATTGTAGTGATTTTGGATACCGGGAGGGGTCGTTTGGTAAGCGGACTAAGTTATCCTGGAATAATAATCTCAGGATTATAATCCATCTACTATTTTATCCCACCTGGGAGGTGGGATAAAATAATCCCAAGTTTGATGGGATAAGGTGGGATATCCAATATTAAGTTTGGGATTAAATTTATACTATATTTGGTTGATGGTATAAATTTATCTCAGGATAAATTTATACCATCAACCAAATATGGTATAAATTTAATCACTTACCTTATCCCGCGTACCAAACCACCCCTAATGTCATTTGGTAGTGTAAAAGAATTTCACTTCAGTTGAACTTGTTTTTCAGTTTTTATATTTGCTCCTTCTTGTCTATCGAAAATAACTTATCTATCTCTATGATGTAAGGATACGGGTCTACATACACACTATTCTACTCAGACCCCATTTATGAGATCAAACTTGATATATTGTTGTATATTTGTTCCTTCTTAGTAGATGCAGTCAAAACCTTTAGAACTTTAATATATAATACTAACAGTTGATGAATGCAATCCGATCAATGCAGACCTTTTGGAATATTATTTTTTTCGGACTTTTTGGAATATTATTAAGATAACCATTTGACAGTCAATAGTAGTATGCCTGATATTCTAAGTTCAAATTGTGAACCTTTTTGAATCACAGCCATTATGAGAAGATTCCATATTCACATTGTTAAGATCATTGAAGTCAGTTGTCATCTCTTTAGCGATAGATATGGATCTGTTATTGTCCAACTGGAATTGGTATATTATTGAACTTTATATTTCCATTAGAAAATAGAAAATTCTGTTATTTGTATTCAGCTGCTAAACAATACACAAAATTCTAAAATCATATTACATTTTAGTTACATAGTTCAATAAGGAAAGAGTTAATAGCAAAAAATTTAGTTAATCTCAAAAAATTTAGATACAAATAGTAGAACTTGTAGCATGTCGGAGAAAGAAACACCGACAGAATTCAATACACAATCAAAGAAATTAAGTGTGAACTTAACTAAACTCATTGCCTAGTTCCATGAAAGAATAAGGGATTTTGCGCGGATAGCTAGTCGGATTCATTGTTTAATTTTTCTACCNATATAACTGTCACGTCCCAAACTACCCCCTAGACGTGACTGACACCTAGCTAATACCACCTGCCAAGCGAACTCCTTTCTCTAACGTTTAACCATTTACATAAACACTGAGAGAAAAAGTGCAGTCCTAAAAGTATTATTAATAATTAAAGAAGAAATGATTATCGCCCAATACCTTAGTCAATTGATAGAAAAACCAACAATCACTCAAATAATAAGACTCTAGCCCAAATCCCATAATATGAGTTTTATTGACGGGTATGCAAACCCTAAAGAAAAAGGAAATAACTAACACGAACTAGGTAAGTCTGAAATGAAAGCCTCCACGAACAATGTGGTGGCTCACCTCATCAATAGGATCCACTCGAACAAACTCGTCAGCCATTAGTTCTATCTTCCGTAACGGTATCTGCATAGAGATGCAGGTAAGACGTGAGTTATACGTAAATATAACCCAGTAAGATCCTCGACCCGCCACTTTAAATACCTCTGGAACAAGTGTTAGAAAATACAAACACATCACAACACGAATGATATAGCAAATTAATATGATAATTATACAATAACTCAATATATGTGTATCAATAGAGTTAATAAGAATTAACCAACAAGAGTACCCACTAAGGACTTGTCATAATTGCAGTGAAAGAAATTTACCAACACATCTACGAGTCTACAACGGCACCACAGTGCCTCCAATATGTAACAGAGCATACACAATGCTCACTGAAGCATACACAATGCCCCAAATATATCAAGAAGCATACACAATTCTCGGGTGATGTACAAAGGCATACACAATGCCCCAACATCATAGCGCACAGCCGTATCAAACTCAATACCATGGCTCACAGCCGTATCAAACTATCAAACTCAACATCATGGCGCACAGCCGCATCAAACTCAACACCATGACTCACAACCGTATCAAACTCAACATCATGGCGCACAGCCGTATCAAACTCAACATCATGGCGCACAGCCGTATCAAACTCAACACCATGGCTCACAGCCATATCAAACTATCAAACTCAACATCATGGCTCACAACCATATCATGCCATCAAACAACTTATAAAATAATTATTTTTTGTATTTTTCATAAAATAATATATTTGTGACTAGTCTAAGACCACCGATTCTGCCAAGTGCACGCTTGTCCCAATACATGGACCAGGCAGAGAAAATGCACTTTCAAAATGGATTTTAGAAAAGCAAGTATCAAAGCTTAAAGTCTCTCTTAACTCGCTAACGGGAAGTTCTCCAACCTTGCAAAGCCTAGAACACCCACCAAACGGCCTCCAATGGTCTCAATCTATTCAAAATATTGAATAACACGTCCTAATTAGTCTAGGTGAATAATTTTCATAATCTTAGGACAAGTCAAAACTAGAGTAACCCCTGGTCCAATTACTAAAATTTGTACAAACTGTTATTATTCTGTATTTGTAAAATAATTCTGGAGAAGATAAAATAACATATAAACAGAAATATAAAAGAAATAGAATTTAATCCGAGCCCACTGAATTCACAGTGTTTCCTCAAAGAATTTATTCCCCTTCTAGTACCCAAGGTTGTGGATTATTTTCTCCCAGGATAGAAGAATTATACATTGGTGTAGTGATACTTCAAACCCAGTGTTTCAGCGAACACAAAGATCGGTAGCAAATCACACTTATTGTTGCTTTCTTTGTAGTTAAAAAAATACAGAAAAAAGGAGAAAAAGTCAGAAATTCGTATGGAAAATCTGAGAGAATGGACTGGTAATTATAGCCAATGTTGAGCTCAAACTGAAAAGGTGCAACTCTTCAGAAGGGCTGTTTGTGTAAAACGGCCATAAATTAAATAGTTTTTACAAAAAACAAAGGGCATATACTATTCCGTTGGATTTAATATTAATTTTCCGTTTAAAAAAATGAATATTTAATAACATTTCTATTAATATTTACTATTAATAAATAAATTTGGTCTAAAAAATTAATCAATCTATCGATCATTTGACCAAATCCAAATCCAAAACCAAATCCAAATCCGAAGCCGAGCCGAGCGAGCGACGACGACATCGACGCGAGGCTTGCCTTTTTCTTAATTCCTTAAGAGCTAGAAGAAGTGCAATTGTATATATATCTATCAAAACCTTTTTGTCACGACCCAAAATTTCTCACCGACGAGACCGTGATGGCGCCTAACATTTCACTTGCTAGGCAAGCCAACGTTAGAGCATCATTAAACCAATTTCTTATTTTCATTATGTAAATAATAATAATTAACTAAGATAAAATATAATAAGTGCGAAATATTATAAAACTATATTAATTACTACCACCCGGATCTGGAGTCACAATTCACGAGCATTCTAGAATTACTACAAGTAATAGTCTGAAAGAAATACAAATGTCTGAATGAAAGAAAACAGTAGGACATAAAAGATAGATGGGGACTTCAAGGTCTGTGAACGCCGACAGATCTACCTTGAGTCTCCGGACAACGGACCAATAGCAAAATCTCGATCAACCTGAGCCGCTACCAAAATTTGCACATAAAGTGCAGAGTGCAGCATCAGTACAACCGACCCCATGTACTGGTAAGTGTCGAGCCTAACCTCGGCAAAATAGTGATGAGGCTAAGACAAGACACCCACATATAACCTGAACAGTATAATCATGCTAGTGGCAATAATAGTAAATAAAGAAATAACGCAGAAATAATGGGAAAGGGACATACAATGGGGGAATACAATATAAAGAGTGAGAATAATGAAAAGACAGAATTAAACCGAAAATTCTTAAATGAATTGAGCAAATAAAACGGCAAAGGAAAAATGCACGGCATCACCCTTCGTGCTTTTACTCTCAACCCCACCAAATAAATAAATAGAACGGCACGGCATCACCCTTCGTGCATTAAACCTCTTATAATATACACGGCATCTCCCTTCATGCTTTATCACTCACAAATCATGGCACGACATCACCCTTCGTGCATTAACACTCACATATCACGGCACGGCATCACCCTTCGTGCTTTACACTCTTCCTCACAATATAAATAATGCATGCACGACATCACCCTTCGTGCTTTATACTCCTTCTCACAAATCACAGAATCAATAACAACGGATAGATAGGAGTATCACAAAGAAACCAGTATTTTACCCATAATCAATAGCACAATGTAACCTCAACCTTGAATCAATATTGGAAAGTCACCAAATCTCAGTGAAACCAGATATAAGTCACCTAACATTTCAAATAACCCGCTAAGCATGGATAGTAGAATTTAAGGCTACAAAATAGACAAGAATAGTATTTCACTCGCATGCTATGACTCAACAACGACGCATAGATGCTTGTCACCTCACCTATATATCGTATTTAACAACCAAACACGTAGCAAATAAATACATAATACCTATTCCCTCAAGCCAAAGTTAGACACGACACTTACCTCGATTCGCAAGCCACTCACTGCTCAAGTACCGCTTTTTCCTTAGAATCCACCTCCAACTCACTCGTATCTAGTCACAAATAGCTTAATACCATCAATTATCGCTAAAGGAATCAACTTTAATGAATAATTACAGATTTCCCAAATTTTCTCAAAATTACTATTTTCTCAACCGAAGGTCCGAATCACGTCACTTAAACTCTGTTTCTCACCAAATTTCATAGACATAGTTCAGATATCATAACGGACCTGTACCGGGCTCCGGAACCAAAATACGGGCCCGATACCATCAAAATCAAGCATTAAGCATATACTTTTAAACCATTAATTTTCTGAAATTCAATTTTAGTCAAAAATTTATTTCTCAGGCTATGGACCTCGGAATTCGATTTCGGGCATACGCCCAAGTCCCATAATTTGATACGGACCCACCGGGACCGTCAAAATACTGATCCGGTCCCGTTTACCAAAAATATTGATCGAAGTCAAATAAAATCAACTTTTTAAGGGATAAATTTTTGTTTTCATCAATTTTCAACATAAAGCTTTACGGAAACATGCCCGGATTGCGCACGCAAATCAAGGAGGATAAATATAAGATATTTAATGCTTAAGAGTGCATATTCGAGGTCTAAAACATAAGATGACCTTTTGGGTCATCATATTCTCCACCTCTAAAATAACTGTTCGTCCTCGAACGGACATAGAAGTACTTGGGCTGGTGAAAAGGTGGGGATATCTATTCCGCATATCGGACTCGAACTCCCAAGTAGCTGCCTCAATAGGCTGACCTCTCCAATGCACTCGAACTGAAGGGTAACTCTTTTATCTCAACTGGCGAACTTGCCGGGCTAGAATTGCCATCGGCTCCTCCTCGTAAGTCAAATCCTTGTCCAACTGGACAGAATTGAAATCTAACACATGGGACGGATCACCGTGATACTTTCGAAGCATGGACACATGGAATACCAGATGAACAACTGCTAAACTAGGTGGCAACGCAAGCATGTAAGCCACCTCTTCCACTCTCTCCAGAATCTCAAAAGTTCCGATATACCTAGGGCTCAACTTGCCCTTCTTTCCGAACCTCATTACACCCTTCATGGGTGATACCTGATGTAACACTCTCTCTCCGACCATGAATGCAATATCACGAACTCTACGATTGGCATAACTCTTCTGCCTTGACTGAGCTGTTTGGAGTCGATCCTGAATAATCTTGACCTTATCCAAGGCATCTGTACTAAGTCTGTGCCCAACAACCGAGCCTTTCCCGACTTGAACCACCCAACTGGGACCGACACCGCCTACCATATAATGCCTCATAGGGAGCCATTTGAATGCTCGACTGGTAACTGTTGTTGTAGTCGAACTCTGCAAGGGGCAACAACTGATCCCAAGAACATCCAAAGTCTATGACACAAGTGTGAAGCATATCCTCAAAGATCTGAATAGTACGCTCAGACTGCCTGTCCGTCTGAGGATGGAATGTTGTGCTCAACTCAACCCGTGTACCCAACTCATGTTGTACTGCCCTCCAAAAGTGCGAGGTAAACTGCGTACCTCGATCAAAAATGATAGACACGGGCACACCGTGAAGATGGACGATCTCCCGAATATAAATCTCTGCTAACCGCTCCGAGGAATAAGTAACTGCCACAGGATGAAGTGCGCTGATTTAGTCAGCCTATCCACAATAACCCACACAGCGTCGAACTTCCTCTGAGTCTGTGGGAGTCTAACAACAAAGTCCATAGTGATACGCTCCCACTTTCACTCAGGAATCTCCATCTGCTGAAGCAAACCACCGGGTCTCTGATGCTCATATTTCACCTGCTGATAATTCAAGCACCGAGCCACGTAAGCAACTATATCTTTCTTCATCCTCCTCCACCAATAATATTATCGTAGGTCCTGGTACATCTTGGCAGCGCCCGGGTGAATAGAATATCGAGAACTGAGAGCCTCCTTAAGGATCAACTCACGAAGCCCATCCACATTAGGCACACAAATACGACCCTACATCCTCAAAACTCTGTCATCTCCAACAGTAACCTATTTGGCACCACCATGCTGCACTGTGTCTCTAAGGACAAGTAAATGAGGATCGTCATCCTGCCGATCTCTGATGCGCTCAAACAAAGAAGACCGAGCAACTGTACAAGCTAGGACACGACTGGGCTTAGAAACATCTAACCTCACGAACTGGTTGGCCAGGGCCTGAACATCCAATGCTAGTGGTCTCTCACTAACTGGAATATAAGCAAGGGTGCCCATACTCACTACTTTTCTACTCAATGCATCGGCCACCACATTGGCCTTTCTCGGATGGTACAATATAGTGATATTATAGTCTTTCAATAGCTCCAGCCACCTTCTCTGCTTCAAATTGAGTTCCTTCTTCTTGAACAAATACTGCAAGCTCCGATGATCAGTGAATACCTCACATGGCACGCCGTAAAGATAATGCCTCCAAATCTTCAGCGCGTGAACAATGGCTGCCAGCTTTAGATCATGAACATGGTAATTTTTCTTGTGAACCTTCAGCTGCCGCGAAGCATATACAATA